GAACTTATACAATGCCCCCCTCCCCATACTAAAAACCTCTAAAAATAGAGGCAGTAAGAAGTGCTATTTTCTTCCTTTTAGACATTACTTTTCAGTGCCCAGCACTCCACTCTCTCACAGAATCACAGACTGGTTGAGGTTGGAAGGGACCTCTAGAGATCATCGAGTTTGACCCCCCTGCTCAAGCAGGGACACCTAGAGCACATAATCACGGCTTGATTAAAATGGAATAATAACAATAAATCAGAGTTCCTAACTAAACTTTATGTATATTTTTGGCAATCTGCTTTCATGCAATCCCCTCCTTGCAGCAGGTGAGAGGACAGGCTCTCTCTCTAAGGGAGCAGCTCCAATTCTCCTCACAAGTGTAAATGCCCCCTGCTTCAGGCCTGGACAAACCTACCCTGCCAGGAGTGTAGCCAGGGGAGGTTCCCAAGCCTCCCTGCCCGCTCTCCAGCTCCCTGTTCGCCACAGCCCAGGGCTTAGGGAACACTCCTGCAGCCTTAGGCTGGTTACACAAATCCCGAGAACTCCTGCAACTGCAGAGTGTTCCGGTAGCTTTTATAACACTGCCCAGACTGGTAGCTCTATGTTTTATTATAAAAGAGAAAAGGGAAAATATATTCTTAAAGATCAAAGTTGATCCAAAACATAAATCTAAAAATAACACATGACTGAGAAAATCCTTTCATCACCTAGTTCAGACTGATCTCTGCACTGTATTGCGATCTGATGTGTTACATTCTACCACGTATTCCTTTTGCAAGATCCTGTGGGTGTTTTCCCCACAGCCCTTCTCTGAAAGGCAGGATTCTCCCCTCCCAGCAGTAACTTCTTCACTGCCAGCACAGGAGCGCGCGCTGCGTCCACCGACGGCCCTTTGCCAGCGCAGCCCCAGGGCTGCCCGAATAGCATCGACCAAAAGCAAAACTGCTATGTTGAACGCTGAGAAGCTTTTGACTACAAGAATGTCCTCAATATTAGTGCCCTCTTAAAGTACTTTTTTCCATTTCTTTTGTGGTTCTGAATGTACCTCAAGGCAGTACAAGCTGTACGACAGAAAGCAATGGAGCCCAAACACATGGTATGCAAGAAACCTCCAGTATGCTCTTAAAATCGTATGAAAACACAATACAGTCAAAAAAGTGTAGAGCAGTAACTGCAAAACAAAATCTTTAATGTTCTCTCTTCAAATGTGTGGCATCTGTAGTGCATGCATTTAAAAACAAACGGATGTACCTCCTGGATGGTTATTTTCTTCCTTTGCCTTTGCTGACTGCCAGCTCCAGCACCGCTTTTAAGGTTAAGCAGCTGGGTTATCTGTTGTAGCTCCTTTTTAGCTTCAAGAACATTTGGATCTATTAGAAGTACTTTGTTGAGATCATCAACGCAGGCTTGATAATTCTGTCAGTAGAAGGGAAGATTTTTTTTTATAAACCACTAGAAAAATAAATTAAAACTGCCATACTGTTTGTTTTATAAGTAAAAAACAACAGATATGTCTCGTCATTGGCATCAAATCCGCAAAAATAACTACAAAAGAGATAATGCAATTTCATTAAAGGAAAAATGAAACTGAAGATAGCTTCAAATTAGTACTTTATGCATACTTTGTTTCCTATTAAAGTATGCAGAGTGAAATAATTTATTTTCTCAATGTCACATCCAACTATCAGACACTATTGACCATTGCTGCTTTTCAGCATTAAGCTTACAATGTAACATTCCTTCAGTATTAATACAACGTGACTCTAACTGCACTTTTAATGTTGACTTTGACAATACAACACAGGACTACCAGCTGTAGCAGATCCCTTCTAGTCCCATGTCCTATATTACAGGCCAGCACATAAGCAGGGTTTTTTCCTGATCTTCCCCTAACTACACCTCAGGAAATCTATCTAACTATACCTCAGGAAATCAAAAACATCCTCATTTACTAAATTAAAATTCCACTTTAGCTGTTATGAATAAGTGTTTGCATATTTACAAACTAATAACACTCCCCAGCTTAGTTTTATCTTTGCCCAATTACATGTATTTAGTTCTTAAAAACTTTCATTAAGACTATTCATCAACTCCAGATCATTCTTATTGCTTTCTCCAATTCTAATAAAATTCTCCAATTTTATCAATGCTCTTTTATAAATATATATATACACATCTCTTATATGTCTAGTGCTCTACAAGCATAAAAAATAAACCATTCGTGTTGCATATTTTGCTTGTATTTACCCCTCTGCTGCAACTACCTGATTGCCTTTGAAGAGCACAAGCAAGTTTAGAAGTGCTTAACAATTCCTGCCATGTTCTGCTTTCCTCACCTGCAGCCCTTTGTGTGCTAGTGCTCTTCTGTAGAAAGCTTTAATATTAGAATCTTCTATGTGAAGAACGTGATCACAGTCTTGCTTAGCCTCTTCATATTTAAACAGTTTCAAGTAACAGAGAGCTCTAAGACAGAAAAACAAAACACACTGCAATATAAGTAAATTTTAAAGTACTGTAGTGAGAGCAATATCTGCCTCATAAATGTAAATTTTAATACTTCATGCAATTCCACCAGAGTCGGGTATTTTTAGTTGTACATCAAAATCAGTAAGTATTAATGGTATCACTGGGTGGATTTAGAAAGTACCTATTTCTGCAGTGTAAGTCAAAATTCAAGTATGACTCACCTGCGTGCTTGGAGTTAAGCAGAAACGCACGTATTTCAAAAGCAGAGCCCATGTTAGCACAGTACCAATACCACAGTAATGAAATACTGATTTTATACAGTTGTTCTTGCGGGGGGGAAAGTACTCTGAATTGAATTAGCAATACCACTTTCTGCACCTTATTATTACTTGGAAATGTCCTACTAAAATACTGGCCTGAGCAAATCCTTCTTTGTTGGTGGAAGCTGACAGGATTACAGCAGAAAGAATTATGCTACAGTACTAGGTCAGCCTTTAAAAATAATGCAACTGTGCACTGCTTCCACTTTTGTTTCCTCAAAAATGCACCTTCTCTGAAATGCTATTTTTCCTATTTGAGATACTACTATTGCACATTTGCTTTCAATTATACTGTCATTATTGAAAAAATGCTGCAAAATGCTATGCTAATTATAACTCCGCTGAAAACACTGATCAAGTGGCAAATATCATCTGACAGTCACTGAGGCGATGAAAAATGTATTTGCAGTCATAAAATATAAGAAGTATTGCTATCCCACAAAATGGAGTTGGATCTTTACCTGTTAGTGTAGATACTGCATTCTTTGGTATTTAACTTCATGCACTCACTGTATTTATTTACAGCTTCTTCGTATTTACCCTTCTTCACAAAATCGTTCCCTTCATTTTTTAATGTCTTGAACTTCTCCTCATCTTTTTCACCTGTATTACAAAAGCATCACAATGTTATTTAAGAAGGCCAGTTCATTCAGAGTAGCTCAACAGCCTATGCAGACTGAGAACAAATGCCTGATACCTGGTGCATCTTCCATCAGTCAGGGCAACTCGATTTCTGTTTCAGATCTTGTTGCTGCTCTAAAGAAGGGATGAATTACCATATACACATTTGGCATAACACACACCTGATCCACCAGGGTAACTGTTTCTGTTGCACCAGGTAACTATTTTGCTGAAACACCCAGAATACAACAAGCAGGTCTACACTTCTAACCCCGCTCATTCACCCTTTCTGTGTGGATGACGTCTCTGCTGAGATGCTGATTTTATTTACAATGCTGCAGATCTATCAACAGGATTAAAGTATTCTACATTATCACTTCCATTACAGGAAGGCTGTAATATAAACCAACACTTTTTCTGCAAGTAAATTATTACTATGGTAAACTGGCAAAGGCATGTTTTGAATGATCTGAAAACAACCAACTGTAAATGTATATTCTCTGATTTAATACCGTGTTCTGCCAAAATTGTCTTTCCTTCTAAACTCCACATCACTCTTTGCAACTGGTTCCAAGCTAGATTAGAATTTTTAGCTATGTTTGCAATGGAAAACCAGTCCTGAATGCAGCTTCATGTCTCTGTAGCAAGTAAAAAATAATTAGTAACATAGGTCTAAGTAAATTACAGTGGGGAAAAAAGGGGTTTTTTTGTGTGCTTTTCTAAAGGGTATGACACTCCTTTGAAGCTTTAGGTGGTAAAGAATGTATCTAAAAAGATCATTTTAACAAAAAATTAAAATCCATGAGCTATTTCATGGAAACACAGCACTCTTCTATGCCAGAAAACTGTACTTGAGAACAGTTGAGAAACTTGAGAAAAGGTAATAATCTGAGATCAGAGAAGACTTAAACAGGAAATATATCTGAATTTTAACTCAAGTCGTATGATACAAACAAAACCCAACACATGCAAAAAAGTGCCAGGCAGCCATAGGGCTTCACTAATGACTGTTACTACTGGCATGTTTCCAGCAGCAGCTCTTCCCCTAGGTCTAACAGGTCCTAAGAGGCAACTGCACACTCAGGAGACCAACTTTGGTAAAGTAGTATATTTATAAATACAAATTACCTGACTTTGGTAAAGTCAGGTAATATTTATAAAACCCAAACATAGCTCAAGCTATTTAAAATAGTTGAGACATAGGATTTTGTATCAAAATATTATGGAACACACTTGATAGCAAATGTCATTAAGTTCGGAACAGGCTGGATATCACTGCTGTTCTGAGGAACCTTTTACCTTTGTGCTTTTCCCTACCATGATGTTCGAGTCCTCTCTCTTTGTAAAGTTAGTAGAAGGTTATATTGATGCAAGTTTCATCTTATTTAAAAAGTTTAGATTAAACAGTTCAGTTATAAATTGAAATAAATAACAAGTTAAATTTCTCACAGAAAAAGGCAGCATTACAAAAGTCAGCAATATTCAAACCAAACATTTATGTTCATTTATGTTCAACCTGCTAATGCAAAATCCAACTGTCTACTTCATTCCAAAAATAAATGATAAACTCAATTATTGTCCAGTCATTAAGAGTGTTAAATCACTGAAGATATATACATACAACTACTTTAATTAAAATATTTAATTTTTAAAAGTACAGTGGATTCTTTATCAGTTCAGATTAAATTATGCACCTATATCCCCCTCATTTTCCTTTAATGACAAATGATATTCGGCAGCAATGCTGTATTTCAGTATGTATCACCATTCAGATCTTACATGAGTGACACTACTGCACGTTTGCAGAGCCACAACTTATTCTTGAGGGAAATGTTCAATTCTCACATATGGGCATGTTATTTGCAAGTTGTCCACTGTTTTACATCAGGCACAGATAAATGTAAAGATCATCTTTCAGACAGCATTAAACCATTAAATCTGTAGTGTGCAGGAACACAGATTGCTGCAGTAATGGAGATTAGACAGATACCCTATCACTGCTGAATGTTTAGCTAGTAACTCAGTTATGCTTTGCTGCCTACCTTGTCTTAAACAGGAGGATCTTATCTTTTTTTTTGTATTAAACTAAACTCACAGGTGAGCCAATTAACAGTAATGCAAGCCATAGTAAAGGCCTTTGCAGGAAAAATGTTTAATCTCAATAAAAATACAATGTTAAGGACTCCTTCCCCTGAATTTCCTGAGTGGAAAAATGGAAACTCCAATGAAGGGAAAAATTCAGGAGGAAGTGTGTCTTAAAGGAGCAAAGCATTCAGTGCTTATGTGTAAACTCCCAATGTACCACAGTTAAAAAGCAGCTACTGACTACCCACTGCCAGAGTGGGAATGCAAAGTGAAAAGCATCAGAAATGTTCTTCCATAGCCCATCTCACTGGGTCAGCCATCTAAAGGGCTGTACTTGCTATTCTCAAGAACTGAGTAATACTCAATATAATTAAACGATGGCCACCGATTACACAGATCATTAAAACAAAACAGTAAGCTGTTACAACTATACTGTGAGATCGGGAAAACAACTAATATTTGTGATAGGACTCAGCATGTCGATAAGTATTTCTGCTAACGTTAATAATAGCACAAATTGAATGCTACCAATTACATCATTAAAAATACTTAGCTAACTGTGGCTCTGTGAAGTCTATTAAACCTAAACATGTAAATGACCAAGATCTCATTCAGCTTTTCACAAAGGTTTGTGATAAATATTATCTATAGCAGTTTCTTTGACACCACTAACAAATAATATATTCTGTTTTTCAATGAAAAATCTTTATTTTTGTCTATATGCTTGCATTAGCTCTACATACCATTCATTTGCAGCTGTTCTTCTCTACTGGTGTCTGTGGTGCTTCTCGGCTTAGGCTCTGAAGCAAAGTTGCCTCCATCCCACCTGTGCAGCTGAGCAGAAACTGGAACAGCTGGAATCGGCGGCAGCTTCTCCCTCCAACTAGGACCATCCTGATCTATTAAGGTTTTGGTTATTCTGCAAGAGAAAAGCTCCATCAACATGACTTCTCATATATTTATTTTTTTAATGACACGGATAAATTAAATAATGCAGTGCCCTTTCTCTTACCAAAAATGACTCAATAATTATCCTTAAGACTAATTTAATAGCAGCCACAGCAACCAACAGCATTGCATTTATTTAATATTCTGTTTTTTTTCAGTTTTTAATTAGAAACGAAACCTCTTGCAACATTTTTTAGATAAACAAAGCAGATTACAAAGTAGGTGTCAAGCTGCATTTTACAGAATGCTTCAAATCTTTCGTTATCTGCATTTAAATGACGAGGGGGAAAAAAATTAAACTGCTCAGAGTCTTTCTTAAATCCACAGATTACAGGTCACCTACTCCCATACACAACAGATTAAATCCAAAATCATTATAATGAATGCAAGTTTCTCACTGATAGGACATGTTTTGGAGCAAAACCTAAATGAACATAGTGAGTCATATGCAAGTTGTTCAGTTACATTTTCTACCATGTTAAGAAAAAACAACAATGAGAATCAGTGACATAAAAGTCTTCTAATATCAAAGGAACTTAAGCACTAAGCTCAACTGGTGATAAATTTGCAATGTACTTTAACAAAGGAAAACTTTGAACTAAGTTGTAAAATACGTTCTGCAGATATGTTATCTAAAACACCTGAAATCAGCACTTCAGGTGCAGTTCCATTTAGTGCATTTGTGATGTTAAGAATGAGATAAAATGAGGGGAAATCATTCAGTCTAAGTTTTCTTCCTAGGTTTTATTTTCTTTCAATATTTGAATAATGTGTACAGATAAAAGCCCTCAGTATAACACAGCTACAGAGTGAGAGCAATCAGTACCAAATTCTTTTCTCATTATCTACTTTAGGTCTGACAGAAGAACCAACACAAGAAGTTACAACTGTTCTACTATATTTTGTTGTAAAACAGCCAAAATGTTTTAAAGAATGATATATCTTAAAAAGGCTTTTTGTGGAGCTGTAAAATATTTATATATGAAGCAGTGTGAAATATACCTTTTATCTTAGAATTTAAGATAAGCTCTTTGTACTCAGAATATCTCACTTCATTGCATTACCTAGTTGTTTAATTTCTTTTCTAAATAATGTTTCTCTGCATATTAGCTACACATGCCCTTCCAGGCCTTCCACTACCAGGATTTTATACCTGGTTTAATACCTAGAGTATTTTAAAAGGTGCCACCACCAAAGAAGCTTGTGCAAGTTCTGTTTACTCTAATTTTACTAAAATTTATTATTTTTTTTAAATGGTAGTCTGAATTGCTAGAATTGTTGCAGCTTTGGAATCTATCACAGAGCCAGTAAAATGCCACTAATTAAAAGCATGCTGGAAAGCATCTTCATGTGATCTACCCCACATGATTAAAAGAAGTATCTGTCAGTTGCCTTACATAGGATGTATCTTTCAACATGTCTGTCAGTCATCTTAGAAAACCAACAAAAGACACAATTCAGCATCTTCTAACCAATATGTTAAACTCTCCAATAACTATTTCATTTTGTTTTAATATAATTTTTCATAAGAATATGTACATAGAGTCTTACTTATTTCTTTTGGGATCTAAAATGATCAGATACAGGCTTTATACCAAAACTTATAACCCTCTTTTACATTTGAATGAAGACTACTAAACTCAACTTGGCCTCTGATAGGAAGATTTTTACTAAGCCTGCTAAATTAGGGCAGGTTTTGTAGATAAGCCTTATCAGGATTCATCAAAAGCACCCTCAGATAAAAGTAGGAAAAGGAGCTTTTCTGTCAGCTTTCTTCAGCATCATGATCCAGTTTCCCTCAGGAACATAAAAACAAACAGATAAATCCCCCAATAAAAAACAGGTTGCTTAAAACACATTTTTGGGTTGTCCTTTTGAATTAAAAGTCAGTACACTTAGAACAGACCTAATATTTTCTTAGAATTAATTTTTAAAAGATGCATTATTTCAGCAATGAAAATTAGTATTTTGATCAACTATTTCAGTTTCTTTTACAAATGATATTAAAAATCAATTACATTAAAAGTTCAATTGTGCAGGAGCTCTATGCTCTAGAAACCAAGAATTTGCAAGCAAAAATGAATTACCAGCAGAGGAGGAGAAGGAAGAAGCAGTTGAAATAAGGTGATGGGTTGCCAGGGAGGAAAGAGTAATGAGCAGTGAAGCTAAAAGCATAAGGAAGCCTAGAGAGGAGAAAAGGAAGAATGTTAAGGAAAAAAAAAAAAAGAGGAAGTAAGCTTATCACTAAGCAAGTTCCAAGTCACTATCAGGAGAAATATGAAAAAATAGCAGGAATAAAATAAGGAAGACGATCAGAAAAGTATAATCATGCACATAGACACCAGAACAGCAGTTATCTTGCCAAACCAAATGCTCTAGCACCAGTGCAGACTCAGGAGATCAGAAACAACTTGTTATATGATCAAAAATAAACTTTCTTATAGTGTCATGATCTTCTGGTCATCTCTGGCCAAAAACCAAGAATTTAAAGATATGATGGCCTTCTCAAGGAAGCCTAAGGAATTATGTCAGTGCTTGGGGGCTTTTGTTAAATGAAACATACTTGGTTCCATTGGTAAAAGTTGCACAAATGCATGTTCTTACTCAATGACTGCTGCTCGTTCTGCATTCATAAATCTTCAAAAATTAAAAAAGTATGGAAGGAAGAGAAAGGAAAATCCTGCCATTCAGGCACTTATGTCCTTACTGTATCTTAATAAGAATACAAATATCGTATACACACAATTTTACAGTACCAATTTTGTAATTATAATTTATATGTAGTACATACTATATAATATGTAGCATATCATTGTATTACAACATGTTATAAAATGTATTATAAATATACATCCTATACAGAGTATATTAGTCTAATAACAGAAACTGCAGCATTATCACTTGGCAACAAGAATTAGTGCTGAAATTATTAAAAAGAAAGTTAAAAATAACACTAATCTTTACTTTGCTTTTTACACCACTAAGCTTTGTAGCCATTCACTCTATCAAGGTACCACAGTGTTTTCACAACAGCACATATTGGAAGATTTATGCTTGGCATAAATCTTAAACCGCCACCAAGTACACCAGTATAAAGAGGAAAAAAAAAAAAGAAAAAAAAAAGAAAAAAAAAGGTATGGGAATGAAAATATTGCTTTAGATTGCATGAAATGTAAGTTATGAAAGAGAATAAGTTGATGCCTCATTAAATATGACATTTAAAACATGACATTTGAAATATGACATTTAAAAAAATGACGTAAGAATGTTGCAGCGATGCCTGTAACTGCATTTCTGAGTAACTCCAGTAAAAAACATGGCATATATATATATATGGCATATATGAGAATGACTTTAGCTTTACAAAGAGGTTGCACTAAAATAAAGTACAACTGTATACTGAAGGCTACAGCAGTCATCCATTTAACTGTTATACCCTAGACTGAATCTCAGTCTTCCAGTCTTGAAGCCAGACTAATTAAGGTTAAGTTGTAAGAAATTGTAACAAGTTAAATGGATGACCCCTGCAACCTTCAACAGTAATGTCTCATCCAGCACTACTGAATAAGAGGAATTTCTGTCCAGATCACTCAAAATTCATCAGAATATTTTTTTAGCCTTAATACATGAACACGGTCATTAGTATTACATTTAGAGAAACCTATCTGAAGATGCAGTGAAATATTCACCTGCTATTTTGTTCCATCATGCAGTACAGTTTTTTCTAAGTGAGGTTAGCTGGAGAGCTGCACAAGTATAAGGTTAATACTGGAAAGGGACAGAAATATGTTCTGCTCAGCTTGCTTTTATTTGTGAGATAAAAACATTGAGCCCTAAAGGGCAAAACTGTTTTATAAAACTGACATGCACATGAAATTGTGGGAATAATACTAAGAAAATGCTGGAAAAGTGAAACAATAGTAAGGGACAGACTCTTTAAAAGTCCTTATATACCAAAAATGTAAAGTTTATATGCAGTCACTACTATACATGATGTGTGGGATCCCTTAATTCTAGTGTACAGGGACAATGAACAGAGAGGTTGGTGCAGGACTAAGAGCATTCAGGAAATTTTTATCACAAAAGAAGATCGGCTATCCTGGATTAGGATGGGGACCCACACAGAGCAGTTTCACACCTCAGAGTTCCCAGCAGTGGGCACTTAGAGAAGAATGCAATAATACTTCCCTTGGAATATTTCCTGGGTGTTAGCAATAAGGAACACATCCTACCTAAGGTCTCTTTGCAGGTGGAAATGCAGAGACTTTCTGAGCATATTGATCTATATGGTGATTAGAAAACTACAGCCATCCAATGAATCAGGAAATGACAAGCTTCGTTCCACTACTGCCCTCATGTCAAACCCAAAGAAAGCCAAGAGCAAAGACACACATAGAATCATACATGGAAAAAAAAATAACACAGGAGTTAAGGAGGGTTACAGTAAAACATGTACTTCCACAGCTGTTAAAACATTTAAGACAGTCAAATCTCTTCCTTTTCAAACAGTAGTAAAGGAAAAATCTCCTTATTATGGTCCAATTTGTGATTTCAAGAAATACTTGCAGAGTTAAGGCCCAGAAGCTACAGGAAAGCTACTGAATAACAACAATCAGTCCTCTAGTTGTGGTGATCCTGTCTCTTGAGGAAAGAGGAAATAAATCAAGCAAAAGTATATTCTGTTCTTCTATTCAGAATCCTGTCAGAGCAAAAAATGTATAGAGGATAGTTACCTATTAACACTATCATTTGCTGCTTGGATGCTGCTGTCTATCTGCAGAACTGTCTTATAGTCGACGTACGCCTGCCTGTACCGCTCCATAGACTCGTGGGCCATCGCTCGTCGCAGGAGAGGCTTAAGAGAAAACGGCTGAAGTTCCAGGGCTCTGCACAAAACAAAAAGAAAATATGCCATTGAAAAAGAGCAATGTCAATAATAATAATAATGAAATTTTCATTATATATATATACACAACTATACATAACATCTGTGATTTTAGATGGGCCTCATGGTAATATAACCCAGGAAAATAGGGACTGAATGGTTTATTACTTACTCAGTATCCCAAAAGAGATGCAGTTGTGAAACTGTTAGTGCTTTTATTACAAACTTTATTCAAATTCATTCATTCCATCTGGAAAATTGCTCTCTCCAAGAAAAGACTGAAGTAAAAACAGCTATTTAAGGGGAAAAGCTCTCTCTATATAAAGTTTCTTGGCTCTGTAGGAATCTCAAATATATGGTGCTTTTGCCTATATGATTTTTCAGGAGGTCTTCTTCCTTATATACAGGGACACATATTCAAAAATGCATTTAATAAAATATTAATAAACTCCTCCATCTACTTTTGGCTTTTAGATCTTTGCCTGTTTTTTGGCTTCAGTTGTTTCCTTTTCTGGTTGTGCTTCAGCGGTCAATAGTGAGCTCAATACCAGATGTGGTGTAATCAGGACTCCTTCCAAACACCACAGGCTTTTCCGGTAACATGAAGCAACCGCCTACCAAGGCATTATTTATTAAACATGACCTTTTACTAATCAGTGATTCTTGCTGAATCAAAGATCAACAAAAAGATCAACACTGCAATACTGAAACTGAGATGAGTCTAGGGGTCTACTCTATGATTTTTTAGCATCATGGAGTAACTGAGATGGGGAGTTTCTAACCCAACCTCTTGCTCAAAGCAGGGTCACCTCTGGGGTCTGTCAGGTTGCTCAGGGCTTTATCCATTTGGGTCTGGAAAAGAAACGAGACTGTGCATGCTCTCAGGGCAACCTGTTACAACGCACGGCTGTCCTCATGCAGAGAAGGTTTTTCCTGAAGTCAGAATCTTTTGGTTTACGCCTGTGGTGTCTCGCCCTCCTGGTGAGGAGACCCAGGGCTCGTCTTCGTGACACCCTCCTCACGGCCCCTGCGTGGCTGCAGTTAGGTCCCCCCAGAGCCCTCTCCCTCACAGGCCACACGAGCCCTGTTCCCCCAGGCTCTCCTCACAACACAGACGCTCCAGCCTCAGCCATCTCAGGGACACTCCTCACACAGTGCTGCAGGAGGTGGTTAGGAGTGCTGAACACAAGGAGATAGGAGATTTTTCCTACAAGCAAAAATACTTGACATTCTGCTACTTCAGGTTACAGGCTCTTAACATCCAGAACAAAGGAAACACTCAACCATAGATGAATTCAGGGAAGAACACCTGCTCAAAGAACAAAATCAGTGGAAATGGAAAACCATGTTTCTAGGTCAGCACTCAAATACAATACAGCCACAGAGCAAGCCACATCACAGCACTAAATACAAGAAAATCAGGTTACCATGTTGGAACACTATTCCACTCTCTATATATAAGTACAGAGAATTACTGAAAAAAGCCTCCTTTTATATTAAAAATATTAAGACTTCTACACACTTCTATTGTACACATCACGTCTAACAACCTCTTTCACACAGGAAGACACCAACCAAAAGTTTTTCCTTCCCTGGCTTCCGAGTGAATGTTTATATAACTGACACATACAGATACCTGTCATTTAGACAGGGAGCCAAGCCTTTATTAAAGGTGGTTCTAAGCCAAATTGGAAGAGCAGGATATCAATTATAAAGTCTAATCACCATCAGGAATGTTGTTGCCCTACATGGGAGATTGCAATTTACCTGTTACAATCCTGAATACAGTCACTGCAGTTCCCTTCTTTGAGGTAACACGCTGCTCTGTTTGAGTATAAGATACTTATATCACTTGGACTTTGTTCTGCTAAAAGAATATACAATTACAATCAAAAACCATTACTGAAATCACATTCAAGAATTAAAGACTTGTATACTCTGAGTTGCACTGCAGTGATGCAGTTTGCTGATGATGCAAAGCTGCCAGAAGCTTTTTTTCCATCATGCCACCTAGAATATGGCATTACTTAAACACTTCAGATTTAAATACTGCAAACATCTCTGCCCTGAGAAAGTTAAAAGATCATTCCACTCATTTTCCTATATTTTGCATTATGCGCACTGTTCTCTACTGTCCATCACAAAGAATTTACTGCATTGTAGCTCATGCCAAAAATCAAGGGATATGCCACATTAAGTTCCTTTAAGTAATCTAAGCAACAATCCTAGATTTAAGGATAAAGTATCACACTCACCTAAACCCATGACATATTCAATTGCTGCTGAGTATCTGAGCGCAGCTTCTCCAAACTGTCCACTCTTAAATAACTCGTTCCCTTCGCTCTTCAGTTTTGCTGCAGTAGGAGGAAGCACAGGACTCTGCCCATCAGCAGACAGCGACCCTGCTCCATGGGATCCAGAGGTCTTCTCATCTTCACGGCTTTCACTCTTTTGACTACAGTTTAAATAGCCATTAACTTCATCTTCACCGTCTGCTGAATGTTTTTGTGCTTTTTTCTCTGATGTGGCTTTTTTTACTCCACTCTCAGTGTATTCCTTCTGCTTCTGTGTGTCTCTGTCTTCTGACTTAACGCCACCTCCTTTGCTAGGAAACTTTTTCTGTGTGTTCCCCATTTCAGCCTCCTCTGGAGCTGCCGCTGCTCTTACTGGCATACCAATTTCTACAAGGAAGTTAATCAGCAGAGTTAGAGCTTGCATCATCAGAAGAAACTACTGCCACTGCAAAAGAGGGGTGTACTTCCAAGGAGCACAAAATACTTAAGGAACCTCCATTTTATAAGGATTGGCTTGCCTCAGAAAACACCTACAAGAACATAGAAATATTCCTAGTTACCAGCAATGTGTAACTATTGCTGAGAACATGTTATCGTGGCACCTTGCTTCTCCTTGCTGAGCACCTTCTAATCCCCAAGTCTCTAATGTCAGAATGGTATAGAATATACCTTGAAATTAACCCTTTAAATACTGAATATTAAAATACCAATACTTTGATTTTCTGTGAACAAATCAAGACTCTGGCATGCCAAAATTAGAGCAGGCAACTAACAAAATACACATTACACACTTTAAAACCCTCCTCAATATAACCTAGAGGAGGAAGCACCAGAGCTCATAAACCATTTTTGTAAAAGGTTTCACATAAACACAATGACAAAAGGCCTTTTATAAAGTTTAGATCATTTATTTTTTGCTAATGTGTATTACTAATTTGAAAATGCCTATGATAAGAGTATCAGATATTAACATAAAAAATTTCCTTAGTTACCTGAAGAGATTACCATTCAAGTATTCAACAGAGGATTTCAAAAGAAAACTACATTAAAGAGCCCTGACTCCTGAAATTATCAGTCAGGCAAAAGCAGCACTGTAAATAACCAGTTTTGTGGTTTGGTGTTATTAATCAAGATGCTGGCTTTTCATCTTCACTTAATTAGAGGTGCTCTGCTGCCAAGCAAAATTTCTTAAATTCCTTCATATATTAGCGTGGTGACTCCTACTGACTCAAACTAAAATTCTGAAGTTGATAGAAAAAAAAAAATCAATGCACTCCAGTTTGTTTCCAAATCACAATAAGTAAATAAATAAATAAATACACAGTATTTACTGCAATCAAAGCATGAGGGACAGAAAAGTGTAAGACGTTTTAAAACCATTAGTGCCACATGCAGCAGAACTGCTAGAGTCTCATTTTATGTGGATCCACTAGATTACGAAGAATTAAGATTTGATTAGATGTGAATTCAGGAATGGCATAAAGGCTGAGTGAGAAGCACAGGTACAGGGGCACAGGCAGGGAGCATTAAGAGCTCAGGCCTCCATCATCTTAGTACAACAGTAGGCACAACTGGTCTCTTAAGCAGCAAAAAGCTCTACTCATCTCCTACTCAATATGGTTTGCTTCTAAATGAATCAGAAGCTTCAAAATGCAAATCTAATACCTTAGTTGTCATTCTCCATGAAAAGCCATGAAACATCAACATGCCTAGTCTGTTTGTTCCTATTACATTCACAGAACATATCAGATTTATTCACTGATTGTACTGACTTTGTTTCCAGATGCAGTTTAAAACTCAGAGTAATCTAGGAAGATGTAAATGCCTGCCAAATCTGAAAATACTTATTTATTTTCCATGATCACATATATCATCATTGACCTTAGCTGCCGATCTTCCCTATGTTTAAAATCCTAACCCTTCATCAACTGAATGGGAGTCTTCCTATGCATCTAAAAGGCAGTTAGTCATCTGAATGCTCCCAATGGAAAGCAACCCCAAATTAGCTAATATTTAAGGCTAGGAATGTGGTCCATTCTTTCTTCGGGGGTTTTACCTGAGGAGATTAGTGTATACATACTGATTTTGAAAAAAATATATGTTTCTTAAAGTCTTGTGCCCACAGTGCATTGTTAAAGCACACACATACAGTCTAGTGTTCACAACACAGGACAATTCAGAGCTTTAAGTGGAAAATTGTGCTTGCTGGAGAACCCACAGTGCGTGGACCCACATCAAAGGATAGGTCTGAAATCATAGAGGATACAAGGAAATAAGTGATTTTAGGAGAATTTTTATGAATTGTGTGAATAAAGCTTATAATATCAAAGGTAATGATTTTTTATCAGGTAAAAATTGAATAAAAAATGATATGACATTACTTTTGTCTCCTCTTCTTTCATGTTCTTTTGTACTTTCTTCATTTTCTTCATCACTTTCTGAACCCTCTATATCTTGAATTAGTATTCTTTTTCCTTTGCTTTTGGTCTCAGATACAGGATTTAAATCTTCCAGTTTCTTTTCAATCTCAAACAGATTTTTCTGCAATATGTAAACAAATAGCAATAGCAGAAACCTTTTTTAAATGTATATATAATATAAATTACAGTCAGAAAGTATATTCTGTTAAATAACCCACATAACATACTGATAAACTGACCAGCAAATAACTCCACAGAAAGAAGTAACGAGCAAGCTGTGAAGAGCTCAAAATGTGCTAGCTATAAGACTCAAACAGAATTCATGTAACTCTAATGTTGAAGATGCCCAGAGATATGAGAATGTCAAATGCAAGGACTGGGTTCTAAGTCACAAATCATCTTAAGAAAATACAGATTAAATGACACAAAACGATCTTGCCCTGTCTAGCTGAAATTATAGCAGTATAAGTTCCTCATCCTGACTTTGAATTGCAAAGAAAGCATCCTGCTTTCTTAGATCCAAAATGGGTGACCATCCTGTCCTAGGTTCAAAAAGCTTAGAATATATATTTTTTAATTCTTCTTGTGATTTGTGTATCAAATTCCAGGTATACCAGGGTGGATCTTTTTGAGAGAAATTTCCAAACAATGTTCACCAACCTAGTAAGTACCATGAGTTCATTAGCAGAGTTGTAGGCACCTAAACTAATTTAACAGAGAAAACTACAGTGCATACCAGCCCTGAGAATTAAGTAGTGAAGAGCAGACTTGGTGATTCCCATTCACGTACCTAATTTCCACCACAGGCACCTATGCTGCCTTGCCAAGTGGATCACCAGCACAGCTAGTGCCACTGTGACACGCCACTGTGTCCTCGGAACTCAGGTTCAAGTTAAACAACATGAAGTAAACTCACTTCATTCTACAACTCCATACAATGCCTTTTTCTAGTCATATGAAAGTAATTTATTTTTACCTTAGCTATGGCATTTTCTGGTTCAACATATAATACTCTCCTCAGATCCTCTATAGCTGTCTGGTAGTTCTGCAGGTGATTGTGTACAGTGGCACGGCGCATGAGAGCTACAAAGGAAAAAAACGTATATTATTTATATATACCTTTGAAGCATAAAGGTAACACCATACTATTTTTTCAATGAAGTATAAGTGTAAAATGATTTTGAAAATCCTACAGTTACTTCATAATGAGGTACGGATTACTATTTTCTTGATTTTTTTAAATAACAGCAATTTGACGATACCTTAATTTGAGATAGTGGCTGTGAATTACCTTATATTTTTCCAATTTCTCCACTCCTCCCATGCAAGTATGGTTAGTTATAGTCAAGCACTTACCTTCAGAAAGGATTAAATCAACACCTTTCACTGTTTTCATGTTGTTTTTAAGGTAATTAATGCTTCATTTTGATATTAGGGAAACAATGCACTGTATAAATACAAGGGGGCTTGTAATCATCATATGAAAAGTAAGAGTTAGTCCCATGCTACTACATTAGAATAGCTGTTGCAGATCAACAGAACTGATTACATAAAATTGCCCTGACCTCCAAATTACTGTCAAAATTAGTCTGAGGAACTAATCTGTTTCCTTCTTTATAATCAGAACTGATACAAAACTCAGGGAGGACAAATGACAGTATGACTACATGACACCTCTTTTTTTTTCTTTTTTCCTTTTTTTTTTTTTTGCTAGAAATAATTTAATATGTGGGAAGGCAGGTTTACACTTTACCTTTTATGTTGCCAGGTTCCATATCTAGCACCTTCTCACAAGCCTGCAAAGCACTGTGCCAGTTCTGGAGTTTGATCTCTGCTTGAGCCTTGTTGTTATATGCAGCCACAGTGGGCAATACTGATATACTCCTGAAAAACAGTATTGACCATGGTAGGCTCACATCTAGAAAAACTGAATGTAGAAACAGTATATAACAAATATTCCTACCGATATTAACGATTGGGGTTAGAGACTCCTTCCTGCAGGAACAGTGGCATTCATTCACCAACAAGATTTTCTGTCTTAGGGAGGGCTTGCTGCGCCTTAGATCAGGGATTGAGAGAAGCTGTCATGGGTTACCCAGCCCTTGAGCTATTAATTCTTGCTGCCCACCCATGTAGGCTCTAATGATACTGCCAAATGAAGACTTGGGAGTAGCAAGAATACAGAACTCTGGAGAGCTCTATGGTGAAATGTAGAGACTCAGGCTGGTTTCTCCGTGTGTTGTTTGTAAAATTGAAAGGCTGAGGTAGAAGCGGATGAATCCTGCAGGTCAGTGCCTGGCTGTGGAGCTGATATTGTAAGCAGAGCTTTGGCTTCCATGACAGAATACTTTTTCATGAATGAGGATGGCTGGGATCCATCTGACAAGGTGGGACAGGAGCATCTTTGACAACACACTTGCTAACTTAACAAGGAGGGCTTTAAACTAGGTTCACTGGGTAGGAACCTAAGGAGAACCTAAGTTGGAACCTAAGGAGAAGCAGGGCACTAAGGAAGTGCGCAGGAGGTGGCATTACTGGAAGAGACTTGCCACTTTCTCTGTGAAAGCAGCATGAGCAGAGGACCATCCTGCTTGTACACAGATCTACAAAGCATGGGGAATAAAAAAACAAAGGAAAAGAAATGTGTGTGCAGTTACCAAGCTATGATCTTGCCAGGATTACAGAGACATGGTGGAATAGCTTGCTTCATTGCAGTGCTGCCATAGGTGCATACAAGCTCCATAAGACGGACAGGCTGGGAGGGTAAGGAGGATGAGTGGAGTTCTAGCCAAGGAGGATGAGCAGAGTTCTAGTCAAAGGGGGGCGTGACTGAAGCAGGTGAAAGTTTTTCTTGAACACGACAAACCTGTCAAGAGCTGATGGACAAGCTCAAAAGGACAGACCAATAGCTGACATGACAGAAAGTGGCTGTTTCAGACTGGTGAGGAACAGCAAGCAGGTGAAATTTTCTTCAGACAAATTGGGGAACGTCTCACAAGTGCAGACCTTGGATATTATGGGAAACCTAAACCACTCCGGTAACTGCTGAAAGGGCAAACTAACAAGGCACAAGAAAGAAATTTGGAGTGTACCAAAGAAAACTTCTTGACCAACAAGTTGACTACAGAGATGCCCTACTGGAGTTGGTACTCATAAACAAGAATTGGCTGCAAATGTGAAAATCAGTGGCAGCCTTGGACTGCCAAGAATTACAATTTTGTACTTCAGAAAACAGGACTTTGGCTTGTTCAGGAATCTGCTTGGCAGCATGGCAGGGAGACTGCCCTGAAGGGCAAAGGGGTCCAGGAGAACTGGTCGATCCTCAAGAACAGCATCTTTAAGGTACAAGAATGATCCTTTCCAAGGTGCAGGAGATTGAGCAAGCATAACAAATGGCATTAAAAGGGAACTCTTGCCTGAGCCCAAACACAAAAAGAGAAGCACACAACAGATGACAGTGGCATAGGCTACCCAGGAGGAACACAGAGGCACAGCCTACACATTAGCAGTGGAATTAAGAAAGCAAAAACTGGAGTTGAAATTAGCAGGGAAGTGAGGGACAACAAGGACGTTTTTGTTTGCTTGTTTGTTTGAAGTAAATCAGCAGTGGAATAAAGATTAAGGAAACTTTAGACTCATTGCTCAATGGGGCAAGGGACTTAGTGACAAAAGACATGGGAAAGTCTTAGGTGCTCAATATTTGTCTCACTTTTTATTTGTAATGCTTACTTTTTTTTCTAAACAGAATGTTTTATTAAAATAATTTTACTTATAATAACAGAGATAATCTGAGCAATGCATTTTTTTCCGTAAAGCTATCACTAATTAATTTAATTTGTCACCATGCTGTTTATCCTTTTAATCAAGTTGCTGTAGGTACTTATTCTTCTGTAATGTTCACATGTAGCAGTCACTAAAATAAAGGCACACAGTAGTATTTACTCACCGACAGTAATATGTCACTGCTTCCATATAATCCCCAACAGCGAAGGCTTCATTGCCCTTCTCCTTTTCACGAGTAGCAATAAATAACTTTTCTTTCTTTGTCATGCCTAGAGAAAAATATCCATACGTAACAGCTAACAACTTGCATAGACGCTATCAAAACATTTTCAGCTAAAATACAGTGAATATCATTTTCTGTCTATTATTTTTAAAAATGCAAAGAACACAGCTTACTAAAATGCTAGTTTGTGTTTTATTTTCTATAATAAAAGCCTAAATGATTGTGATAGTCATATAATTTAGCACACAAGATGGAACCTGTACATAGGTTGAGAGAGTTTGAGAAATTTAAAATAAAAATCTCAACTGTTTTTTTAACAGCAAGACTATAATTTTCTTAAATATGGCTTTATTTTCAGTGGATTTGTAAATATTTTACCACCTCTAGAGGTTCAAAACCAAAAACTACACTTTTTCGTCTGGAATGTGCTTCTTCAATTTATGTACAAAATTGGCTACACAGTACTACATTTGAAGAAAAATCAAATACTTTGAAGTCATTACCTGTTGTATCTATTTTATTTTCAATTACAGGTAAACTTGCTCTAGTAAAGAATCTTGCTTTGGAGGTATTCTCTTCACAGCCATCATCAATTTTAGAGCACTCCTTTTCCACATCGAACCTTATATTAATAAAAATAAAAAATACAAGAATGCTGCATTGCACAACTCCTCTGCTAAGTGAAAGGCATAAAATTATAATAAAAAATGGGGATAGAGGCCATCTGTGATCAGTTATCCATGACTAGTTAAGATATAAGACTCAACATTTTTTTTCTCCTCTGTGTTTTTTCCTGTCTTTTCCTATAGACGTGCATTCCTCTCCATCCTCCCTTCTGGTTAAGAAAACAAACAAACAAGTCTCTTCTCCTCCCCCATGTCTTTCCCCCACCTCCTCCTCCCAAAAAAAAAAAAAAAAAAAATTGATAAACTGCATGCAACAGAAGACAGGCAAAATTTAAGAAAACAACATCTTCAGGCTTAGTTCCAGCCCTATCAAGCACCTGTCAACTTTGTCATAAATATCTTCTAGCGATTACTATTGTAAATTTGAGAAAGATTTCTGAACAGCATCTTAGACAACTCCCAGTCTACTCTGAAGTGACTTTTGAAAAAGCTATTTAGGATTTTGTTTTAGTAAGTATTGTTGCCATAGTCCTAGAGAACAAATACAGCAATAACCAGCTCCTAGATGAGCAAACAACTTTAAAGTTATCAGCACACCAAAGTACTTAAAGACTGAGCACATACATAAAATTAAAAGCAAAATACAGAAATAATAATTTTAAATGACATGGAGGGAATGTATTGCTGTAGAAGTTATTTTTGGTAACAAATTTCACTGATCCACATTTAAACAAAATTTAAGAAAACAACATCTTCAGGCATAGTTCCAGCCTAGTGGCAAAGTTGTGACAAAGGTCACAATTTCCATGACACATATACTTTAAATTGATATGCACTACAAACTAATACATACAGCTGTTTGCAAAAACAGCGTCTTATGCAAAAAGGGCTTTTATAGTATTTTTGTGAGATACTGAAAGAGTTTCATCCTTCAAACTCCACAGTTTCTGGATGTAGCTCCCTGTCTGCAGTACTGGAAACCTGTGCATCATTGCTGTGGTTCTACAGCATCATATTTCAGATTCGAAGAGCTGCAGAGAAGCTGCTACTGTGCAAAACAGAGAAGTAGGTGCACTCTCACTGCACAAGCTGAGAGAACAAATCTGTCACGTACCCGGGGAGGGCAACATGCTATCGCTACATGATGTAGAAGGTTCTTTGGCAGCAGGGCTTCACCCACCCTAGTAGTAGTCAGGCACCCTCTGAAACCTGGCTGTGTGTGATGCATTGAGCAAGCAAATGCACCTGCTTCAAGCTTATTGTTCAAAGTGGGTGGGACTTAGTGCAAAAATACGGATTCAGCAACTTTCTTTTTGAGTTAGCATTGTGGCTTTAGATACACAGAAGATAAAATTCATGAACATGTGTTAAATAAACTTAGAAGTTCTTTCAAAAAGCTGCTGAAGTAAGCTGCTTTGAGTTCCGAGTTTCTATGCACCTCCCTAGATTTTATATTTTAGTTGTAGAAAATCTGAGAAAAGATTACTAAAAAGGTATAGACTAACTTGTTTTCAGTTGTTAGTTTTTCATAATAAACATGGTTAAAATACAAATGATATAATGTGGTGTCAAGTTTCACTGAAGTGCTGTAATTCTGTGAAAATGTTGACCTTAATACTGTGTTTCTGTGAAGGCCTAATAACTGTTATTATTACTTAAATATAAAGCATTTAACATACTTGTCCCATTCACTGTAATCCCGTGGTATATTTTTCTTGTTTCTTTTTTTGTCTTGCAAGTTTGTTTTCTGAAAGAGAAACAGCCAGTCTGTAAGCCAATTTTTAAAAGGAAATTCACAGCCTATTTGTTTGCTCCTGAAGTACAATCACCTGTAACGAACCCTGTTTATGACTAACCTCAATGTAATCTTGTAAAGTTCACTCATCTTGCTTTAAAGAACATCTTTTATGCATTTAAGATACTGTATTCTGAGGAATCTTCAGTCTCTCACTTTGTCTCCGCTACCCTTTTACATGTTGCAGAAGTTTTGGATAAAATTTTGGAGAGGAGACAGCTCTTCCTCATTGGTATCTTGTGTTGCCATCTTCCAAATCCGTCCTTTCAATATAGCAGAAGAAGACTCTACTTACTCTTGAGAAAACCCAGCCCTGTTGACAATAGAGATTGAACCACTAGCCTCATTCTCAGCCTGCCATTCCCAAGAGAATGGAATTTTTTGACAACGCCCAAAGCCCTCTACACAAATATAACATAGAAATTTGCGTTGACTTCGAAATAGCCCCTGTACTTCCTCTGACTATTTCACACTCCTGTCGAGCTATCCCCAAGATGACTTACACTCATTCTACCTTCTAGGCACGATTCATCATTACAAATTCCCTTACCCCAAATTTATTCCTCGAGCTTCCTGCAACAATCAGTTCCAGTAACTGACTTAACTGAGTAGCATCTCAACTCACCTCCTGTGCTAATGGGGCCTATTTCCATTGCTGGCACCTTTGGCATCTTTCGTTCCTCTGTCATAAGACTTTGCTTTTGGGAAGTCCCTCCCTGCTGTTAACCACAGGATAGTTAACAACAGGGTGCAGTCCCTGGGAGGCCCTCGGAGCGGCACAGCCAGTTCAGAAACAGCCTCCCGTTCCCTCCTGCCCTTCAGCCCTGCTCCTTCCCTGGAACACATAGCTCATGGAGTTAGACCCACATAACTGTTTGGGGGGTTACAGACTGACACTCATCTCTGAACAACTTGATACAGTTTACAGTGCAATCCGCAAATATTTATACAAGTGCATGCGATAAAGTGGCCTAAAAAGAATCCAAACAAACCACAACCTCTTAAACTAGCTTTACAAGTGCTGATACTGGAACGAGGAAATACTTCCCCAGATCAATTTACATAATGTAAATGGCACCTTTCCGGTAGACACTTCAGGCTACCTGAATAAACTTTTGGAACATATGACTTAGAATAAATACACTCTCAACGTTCTTGATCTTTCAAGAAGCCAGACAAAATGACAAACACATTTAGGGATTAATGCATATTTGGAGGTGGAGACTAAATAAGGCTCCCCAGAATATGACTTGTAATTATGTATATATCTTGATGTATATTGTGAACTCACACAATTATTTTGGAAACAGATTTCTGTAACTTAAATACAAAGGCAGACATTGATGACAGTGAAACTTAGAAGAAAAGTCGTAAGGTATTTTCATTAATGCACTTGTAGCATAGCGAGAGAACTCCCAGTTTGTTCTTTGTGGAACACAACACATGTGTGGACTCCAAAATACACAAATCCTTACACAATTCCAGGTTTCACACTCTTGGGACCACAGCAACAAAGCTGTAGAGTCATGAATCTCACAACCACTAATACTACATCTCATCTGACTTCCATAAAAAGTGTGTTTTCATCCTGTGTCAGCTTTTCCCTGGTACTTTGCTTTACAAGTAAAGAACTAAAAAAAGACTCTGCTCTTGTCATTTTTCCCCAGAATTCAGCACACATAGATCCCACAGAGCCTCTTTCCCATAACTATGTCAATAAGAAGAAAGAACCATATAGAAATATAAGCTATTGGCACTGAATTTATACTGTAAGTACATTTAGTATCAGCAACTTGAACTCACTGCTGTAATACACTGATTTAGGTACAGGTCACTAAGGGTTTTCAGGATTGATTTTGCACAAGATAACTGGATTTTTTATGTATCAAGCCAACTAAATATACAGAGTCTCTAGTAAAGTAACACACATAAAGTGGAGGGATTGTGTGTTTCTTTCTAACAGATACGACAAATTTACCATACGAACTTTGTTTTTGATATCATGGTGCAAAATTATGTGATCCTGGTCTAAAAAAGGAATTACCGTCCAAATGATTAGTAAAACATGTTTAAAAACTACTAGATTACACACACATTATCAGCAAGAAAGAAAATAAGTATCAACTTAACTGTATTAACCTGATTTTTTTGAGATTGGTATTCAGGTGATTTAGTATGTACAGTTAAAAAAAACTTCCATTTACTCAATAATGAAATAATTGCACTACTATATAAAAATGGAAATCTAAAACTCAATTTCAGGCCTTCCTTCCCTCTTTCAGATAAGATTACTTCTGAGGCAGTCTGCTTGCACAAAAGGAAAGGAGGTTACACACAGAGCTATAGCTAGGTTTCCATGTCAGAAAAATGATATTACCTAAACATCCTATGGAGAATAAAAAAGATAAAATCTTGAACTCAAGGCTGTTGCAGATTTAAATCAGGAGCAAAACAAAACAACAACCTAAATAACATCGTGCCTTTAAATGAAGATCACGACCTCTTCAGGAGGGGAAAAAAAAAAAGTATATCCTAGACTGAAGCCTCTACATCAATTTATGATGACATTCCATCTCTGGATTATCTAATTTTACATTTTATTTAACATGTTCTGTCTAAGGAACACTCATGTATGACATAAGCCAAAAGCAATAATGCTACTGTGTCACTGTTTATCTCACAAAAACAATACCCAGGATGAACTTACATTGCAAACTGTAAACTAGGACATACCAATGAAAAAAAATGAATGTCAAGAATAAGCACCTATAAAGCATTATGCTGGAATTCCCAGGTTCTTAGTATCTCAAGTAATGGAGAGTACAGAGTCATCCCAGTATCTTGGTCTGGTGTCTAAATATTAGCTGACAGGAAGAAGCAGTTCCTGACAATACAGCATCCAGGTATTTACTAACACCTGATTACTAACAACAAATCAAGATGATTTGTTAAATTAACAATTAATAAAGAAGATCATGACCCTTGTAAGGATCTTTTCATAACATTTTGAATTTTTATGTGCAATGACAAAAAGGAAAAATCTTTTAGTGAATTCACCATAATAATAACAACAATTCCCCCCCAAAAAAGGTGGAAATCAGATTAAAGTAATCATGATAACATCTGACAACTCAAAAAAATCCCATTCTCACACTTGCTTTTCTGTAAATGCCTCCTGTAGCACTGTATTTTGGGGAGAGGTAAATAAATGAGGTGAAAAAAAAAGAGAGGAAACTAATAGCTTATTTTAAGAAAAATTAAATGTTTAGTTTCAAAGATTTGTTTTAATTTATTTAAATATGCTTTACAGCTAAACTAAGAATTTAGTTGTCCTCTAAGACTAGAAAGCCGAAATACTAAATCCGGCTATTAAATAAGGGGACTCGAAGGCTACATTTACACTAGTATAGCCAAACATAAAAGGAAACTATGGTGTGAAATACATAATGGTGCAGAGGATCGTGCATGTATTTGGTGGGATTCATTTTGGACTGGCTTCAGTCTCATCTCACAAAGCAAAGGCCTACTGGAAGCTGGAGAAATCTCAGAGTATAGTTTCATCCAAAAGGAGTCTAGATCATATGCTTTAAGACCACTCTGAAATATGAATCAAAGCATATAAAAGGGCATTTAAGGAGGTTTGCTTCAGGAATTAATTCCTGATTAGAATTAAAACATCATCACATTAATAATAAACATTATTATTACAAGACACATGCTAATACTAAAGAGATACTTTTGCTTGAGCATTCACTTCTTACAGAGGATTTTTTTGGTTTTGTTTTTTTCTGATTATCAAAATAAATCTCATAAGAAAGCCTTGAAGAGTGCAAATTCATACAAACAAAAATTTATATTTCCAGAAAAAAAACATAATTAGCATACATTTGCAAAAGCATAGCTTTAGAAAACTGATTTAGATACCTGATTATCAGGAAGACAGCTGCTAGTACAACGAATGGGAGGCAAGTTATCTTCTCTTTCCTGCAGTGGATCTGTTTTAAGAAACTGTGATTTATCATCGTCTTCATTCATTTCTGTCACCCAGCTCTGAAAGGAAACAACATATCTGGATCTTAAAGTAGTAAAACAGATAATCTGCAGAATCTACAAAGACCTTAACAACTACCCCCATAATGCACTGCTCTTAATGGTGGGGGGGGGGAAGAGACCATTAATTAGGATTAAGGAAACCTTAAGCACAAGTTCCTGACTGTAGGCTAAAAGGGTTGTTTCCTTCAATCCATCTGCTGATTTGAGGAGTGGTAAATATGAACTCAGTAGTTACAACAGCTTCTTCCTTTACTGGTACAACCATTGTGGGTTTTTAGAGATAAAATAAAACAGAGGAAATATTATAAAGTAAGCATAGGAACATAAGTGCCTTTAGTCATTCACAAGAGTTTGTAGAATCTTCTTTAAGAGAGTAGAAATAAATTTTCTCTGACAGAAATAGCATATGATTAGAACATTGTTTCCTACAACTTATCTTAAAAACTCAGAAACAAAAAGCACCTACTTATCCACTCAAATTATGCAGCTTTTCAAATAGTTAAAAAAATCAATTTCCTAAAAGTCATTTATAAATGCTTTGTGTTTTCCCTTTTTTCTTTTTTTTGAGTTAAAAGTTTTATATAAACCTGATTAAGTAGAATTCTTTTAAAGGGTAAAAGAATAAAAATAAATAATCGGACTCTTCTTACCACTTCTAGCAAATACATCACAGTATGTAAGACTGATGGCTAAGTGCTATCCACTTATCCACAATATCCACAAATAACCACATACTGTTTATGCTTAAGAAGCTCAACAGTCATCTGAGATTGATATGTCAGAGTAATTACAATCCCCATCACTAAAAATGGTAAATTAGAATTACACCATACCATTAGTTCACCATTAATTTTTTCCCATTCTTCAGCTGTAAAATCAGAAGCTGTGGCTGCAGGCTTGTCTTTTCTCAGAGCTCTGCTCCCTGGCTGCAAACGCTCAATACGCTTTTCACAAAATAATGTAAGGTCAGGATAATATCCCTCCTCACCAGACCTTCAAAATAAATGTTAGAGTTACAAAAAGAAAAAAATGAACTACACTGCATTTCCTACAAACCTCAATATTTCTAAGTATACTACAGTGATTGCAGAAAACTATTCTCCATAACAAAATTCATCTACACCTAAATGCATTTTGATTAAAAAATTAACTCAGTATGAATTTCTTAAGAATACACACATGCAGTTCCAAAACTATCATTGCAGTGCTAATAAAAAATGCTCTTGTCATTTGCAGAAGAAGCTCATAAAGCATGACATGCAAAATCACCACACACCTTCAGGCAAGATGGTTTCAGGGAAGAGCTAAGATCCAGTGGCAGTATTTGAGAAAAGGGTGACACTGAATCACTTAAAGCTGTTTGGTGGGTTAAAACAGGAACTGGATTTGTAATGCTATCATTTGAACACTTAACATGATTACTTAAACTTTGTACTTTTAACTTCCAATTGTTCAATATGTAAGTCACAAAGAAGCTCAAAATAAATAGAATATTTAGGCTAAAGTTTCCAAAATTAAAAAATATAAAGTTTACCTTAATACTTTGAGAATTTTTTCCAGATGTTTAACATCTGTGCATTTCTCTATGAACTTGTAGTCCAGGTGACCAATTGGTATTTGGTATCTCTTAGTTGTTCCTTGATTGAACAAAGATGGGACCGAGTCATCACCCATAACTAAACATTAAAAGAAAAATATAATGATTCTTTGGCACTGGCACTCAATTATATTTTCAATCAATGCTAATATGAACAGTAGGCCTGCCTATGCTTCTAAATATTTTCTTATGTAAGTGGGCCTGCTCCCACAAAAGAGATATTTTCAAATTGAAGCCCTGATCTCAAATTTCTCCTTTAGCAGAGCTCTATTGACATACAGTTACATGAGATGTGTTTTAGAAAAAGAATATGTGCAGCTTTATTATTTCTGTGAGGCAGAACTAGTCAGAATTGCTTCTTAAGAAAAACATTCATAAATATACCTGTATTTCCTGTTTTTTTTTTTATTATACACAATGTGGTATTACTAAAAAAAAAATCTGGAGAAAACCTGATTCCCACTTTTAGTTCTTAGATAGAAAGATTTCACTGATAATATCCAAGATGTCCTTCCCCATTTAACTACAAAACATTCAGTGACATTTCTCTGATCAAAACACATGAGCAGAACTTTGTCAGCATCTTCCCCTGACCTTGAAGGCATTTTCACTATGACTGTCCATGTTTTGCCTTTAATCTCAATTTTTCTTTCTCTTTCCTGCTTTCCTATTCTAGTGATTAATTTACTGCATACTTTCATATCTCTTCTGGATCAGCATACTTACTCTTCTCTGATTTTCCTTGAAGACTGGAGGGAGCTTTTGTTCTCATGCCTGCCTATTAATCTGAAAGGATAGTCCCCCAAGATGTAAACTCGATTACCTTGTTTATCTTAGTGCTTTACCTTTTTACTCTGATGTACGTCCTTCTGCCAAAGTCAAAGTCACCTTTACAACACTTTCTTAGTGATCTTCAGCTCACAGAGAGCTCTTTTCAGTCTTCTCAGGGACTTCCTCAGCCTTTGGTAACCCTGGGTACAAATGCCACTACCTTGTTTATAATTCAGAACACTAAACAGAATACAGTGAATATGAAAACACAGCAAAACCGAAGCATCAGTATAAATTCTGCATTTTAGTCTGGCTCACAGTTGCAAAAAGTCAAACTTTGTGAAAGACAAGTTTGGAGCCCAGGAACTGAAAGGACATTAACACGTAAGTGCTAACTCACTGCTGCTAACAGAAGGAAGCTTCTGCTCTCTGTTCTGCATGCTCCCAGGCATACAGTTCTGCCTCATCTTCTGCACAGGTTGCTGCATTCTGCAGACCGCACTCCATGAGTGAGCTCTGCTCAGAAAGCATTTTGCTAGCATAGTTGTCTTTGATACTTAAGAATTGATTTGGCTTATGGAAGAGTCCAAAGGCACAGGAGTCAGCAGAAGATCTGGAGAGCACTGCATTTTTTAAAGTAGGCACAACTGGGGATAAAGGATCAGAAACTTTTTTTTTCCTCCAGAGTCAAGATGTTCAACCAGCTCACCTTACTGAATGTAAGCCAAAATAATACCAGTGTTCATCTTTCCTCAGAGTTTTCAGGGAATTATCTGAACTTACCTGGATCTTTTCCTTAAGTCCACAACTTGGTGGAAGTAAGGTGTTCTAAGCATGCTCTCCCTATCACCCTTGGTACTTTTTATTTTCATATGTATTTCTGTTTGTTTTGTTTTTCTACTTACATTCCAAGCTCTACATAGTAGAAGCTGTTCCTTTTTTTCGTTCTTTCTTTCTGACTGTTGCATAGCACTTGAATTGATCAGTGGTGTTTAAACTAGTATCATAGGGGCAGTTAGTAAGTGATGACATGTAAGTACTGCTATAAATCTAGTCAAAATAACTGTGTTCCAGTGCCTAGCAGAATTACCCCCGTTAGATTTGCATAAAGGAGACTTATAATACAGCATCACTTAGATAATAACTGGTAATATGTAGGTATGACATAAATATACGTTTCTGCCTCAATGGTCAAGTATTTTTGTAACAAAAAAGGGGGGTGGGGAAGAAATAACGTGGAGACAGAATATTAGAGGAAAAAGATTTAAAAAAAAAAAAAGGCATGAAGGGCACAAACCGCAAAGCTTCATCTGCTCCGATATTTGCACGAATCCTGGGAAGCAGGACACCACGCGGCCG